CCCCCCCGATGAAGCCACTGCTCTGATTGGTCCGTGTTTGATTGGTCAACCTTTTCCAGTCGCTTCACTTTGTTCGGTCAGACTAGATTCTGGGGGCTTAATATTCAAATGTGGCCGTTTCCACAGACGCTCAGTCGAGCTCAAAGCTCAACAGTCTCCCAGATATCAGCTCCCTGAAGATCAGAAATCAGAAAAGACGTTGAAATAAAAAAGAATCGTTATTCCTCCCAAAGTGAAGAACGCACCTGATACAGATCCACTCCGAAATGTAGGAGGTTCTTCCCTAATAAGTTTCATGTTGATCCGTCCATTCGTTTTTGTGTGATCCTGCAAACGAGCAGAGTGGAAGATCATCATATCTGTTGGTGTGTGTTGCAGTGAGGTGGGTCTGGAGGTTCCCTTTAAACTGATGCATCCTAAACCCGATGCAGGTGAGTCACAGTCGTTTTAAACCAGGTAACTCATTTATTCACACATGATGAATCATCACGCTTCAACCTTCCCCTCTTTTGTTACTGCTGCCAACAGTGAAGGAGAGGTAAGACAGTAAATGTCCTTCTGTTCAGGTCGCTCAGGGACGGGATCATGTTCGTGGATCTTTTATCACTTCATCAGCTCTTTTTTTTCGTCCTCTATTCGCTGCTGTTTTCACCTCGTCAGCAGTATCAGCTTTCCTCTGCTGGGGTTTTGATTTAGTTTCAACACGTCTCTTTCTTTCCAGTAGAACTTGACTCATCTATCAAACATCCTCAAAAAGCCATCGATGAATTTTATTCCTCGTGTCTTGTGATCTTCTCGATTTGACTGTTAGCTGCTGCGGTGCTGCTCCATTTAGCCTCTATTTTCTATTCGATCAGAAGGTCGGAAGGCTCCGCCTGTTTCCATATACGTATCTCTTCTGGTTCAGGAAGCAGAGGATCATGGGTAATATCCAGTGTCAGTAGTGTTTCAGTTCAGTGGGACGACAAAGTCAGAGCTGTGCTCACATGTTTTTCTACACGTCATCACTCGGGCACAGAGCGCCAAAGAATATATCACCACATGTGGCTGCAGGGGGCGCTGTTGATCAGTTACAGTTACGTAGTGTTGATTGGGCTCTGTGATTGGATGCTTATTGACAAAATGCATCTTGGTTAATGTAATTTTCCGTCCGGTCTGACATATTCATTGTTTACTGAACATTAAGTCTGAGGTGCGCCTGGACTCAGTCTGTTCTCTCTGCTGTCGTCTGCAGTGAGATGGAGGAGGAGCTGGTGTTCCAGGAGTTCAAGCGTTCCTACCTGAAGGGGATGATCGACGATGAGGATGAAGATGGAAATGTGTCAGGTGGCGACGACATGGCGCCCAAAGAGAAATAGAGGAGAGGGAGTCGACCGGCTGATGACGGCTGAAACAAAGGCAGCTGGGAGTTTGAGTGACCTCAGAGTCTTTGGTAGAATAAGATGCCGCTAAATGAAAGGGCCATCCCTTTATTCAGCAGGTGTCAGTCCCAGCTGCTTTCAGACGTCGAAGTCCGCAACGAAAAAGAGTGAAGTGAATTTGTGCTTTTAGAAACGTCCTCAGGAGCTAAATCTGTAAATGTTCAAACGTGTCCAGTTCATTTTGAATCACAAAGAACTCAGAAGGTGACGATCTGTTTTAACCATTTGAAATAACTTATTTTATTAGTTTCCTCATGTCGACTGTAGAACTGCTGCCGATTGCTCCAGATTTCCTGCAGAAACATTTGTATGATGCTCGGTGCGACTGTGCAGCGTGAGCTGTGTGACAATAAAAGCTGAATGATCCATCCTCGCATCGGCCGCTCGTTCTTGAGGTGGGGGGGGGGGGGGGGGGGGGGGGGGGGGGGGGTTCATGGGATGTGCAGCAGTGAACGTGCGTCAATCCACGCAACGTCATAAAGATGGATGACACGTCTCCACTTCCTCCAGAAATGAAGCCAAAATTTCTCAGATGTGAACGCTGCCATCTTGTGGACATGACATAATTTGCAGTCAGTGCTGTCTTCCTCCATCCTCCTGGTTTCAGACTCCAGGTTGTTATTTTTTACTGGATAGACGAGGAAGTGGAGCTGTGTCGTCCATCTTTCTTCACCGTCTGAACAACCAGGGTGGCCATTTTGGCTCAGTGTATTTGAACAAATCATTGCATGTGCCACCGTTTCGCAGAAATGAGATGAAAACAAACACAAGTTAAAAACAGGTCGTCCGTGAGTCGTCTGGATCCAACTGTGACTGTTTTCAAGTAGGTCCTCGTCCTCCTGTGGCTGTAAAGCCGAGCTGTAGCTTCTGTTGGACATTCATTCATTTCCCTGAGGGATCAAGCTCCTCTTCAGACGCTGCGTTACTTTTGTCTGAATTAAAACGACTGAAGGAAAAGAGTGAATCAGTCCCTTTGGTTGCAATTTAATATCCTTTTTTTTTCAAGCATCACAACATATGCGTTATTAACATTCTATTATTAACAGTGAAACAACACAAGCTCTAAAACTGAGCTGCAGCTGATGTGATGAAAATAAAATGCTCTCTCTTAAAGTGTCTTTAAAGCCAGATCAGAAATCCAATCTGTTATTTAAATACATGATCAAATGCAGGTTAAATAACGACTGAAATTATCTCCACACTATTTTATTTTTGTGCTTCATCTGTGTCACACATTGTTTTTTCCTCAGTCTCAGTTTCTCCACGTTTCCAGAACTTCAGTTCAACAGACTGTTTATTTACAAAGTTTATTAACATGATGCGACAAAACTACCAAGTAAATCGATATTTAGTGAAACCTTCACTGAAGAAGAGGCTGCACATTCAGGAGACAGACTGGTCTTCTGATGTTCATGACACAAAGACTAATATCACAACTTTATTCTCAAAATCAAATAATGTTTTTTCATCAACATGGCCTGTGTCGTAAATAACACACACAAAAATAACATGTTTCAATGCAGATGTAATGTTTGCAGTCATAGTTTAGCATGTTTGCTCATTGACACTCAACCTGTAGGTAATGGAGGGTTGATGATGAAAAGTCACCAGAATCATCTGAACTAAATTTCACCAGAAATCATTGATTTAGTTTCTGCGGTGGAGCGAGAGGAGAAGTCAGTGTCATTTAATCAGCACAGTAATATTTGAGTAACAATTCACCACCTTCCAACAACCTTCTCTACAACAAACCAGATCTCTTCCACAAAAGGCTCAGGTTTAACCTTCAGTCATCCAGGTCACGGTATTTCCAGACGATGTACAACTGGACTTGCTTTTGTTTAAACACAAGAAAGTCCAGCTGGTTACGTACACTAGTAAAAATCTTGACTGTCATCACTTGCCTCCGACTGAGTGACTTTTTGAAAACTCTATCTCTCCTCCTTTAAAACTTGCAGTTTGAAATACACATAATGTTTGATTGGCAAGATGAGGATACTTCATCTACAAATGTGCGACTGACTGACTGGAGCCTACTAAGGTGGAGGAGTGGTGGTGTGTGGAGGACCATCCCAGCTGAATTGTTCCTCCTCCGTGTTTTCCTCTGTCCAGAAACCTCGACCGAAGGGAATTTGGCAGGAGTCAGGGTGCAGCAGATACCCCGAGAACGTGCTGCTGCTCTCACTGTCGGTGTAAATGCCGTTGGTAATATTGTTCTTCACTTGCAGCCACACCCGGTCTCCTTCAGTGAGGTGGAGGACGAGACTCTGGCTGGCGGTGGCTTGGTTTGTTGCCTCTGTTGTTTTGACTACAGGTTGGTAGTTGAGGAACAGGCCGACCTTGAGTGTCCTGAAGGTGACTACCAGGTGGAAGGAGAAGACGTAGGTGCCATTGTAGGGGGCTCTGTAGATGCCGGAGAGTGGGTTGAAGTGTTCAAACCGGTTGAAGAGGACATGTGGGAAAGGAATGGGCCAATTTGGGATGGGAAACGATTGGTTGATACATGCAGAGAATGCTGATTGGATGGCTATAGAACAGGGACCGGGAGGACCATTGATGCCATTGATGCCCTGGTCGCCTTTTGATCCCATGGGGCCCTGTGCACCTTGGGCCCCAAAGTCACCTTTGTCCCCTTTATACCCCCTTTCTCCTGGTCTCCCATCAGTGCCGGTCATTCCATCAGTGCACTCACAAATTCCTTGCTCACCTTGGTCACCCTTCTGGCCATTTAGCCCGGGGTCGCCAGATTTACCTAGGTCACCTTTATAGCCCATCAAACCTTTAGGTCCCGCAACTCCATTAACCCCAGGCAGGCCCCGGGCTCCAGGTGTTCCAGGGGGGCCTTGTGGACCCTGTGGACCCTGGTCACTTTGACAGGTGGCAGGACATGAGCCGGTTTCTCCCTGGGGACCCTGTGTACCTGGCGGCCCTATGACACCTGTGTCTCCTTTCTCCCCTATAAACACAAACATCGAGAATTTTTGCATCACATTTTAGCATAACATTCAAATGGTACAGCATGAAGCTTGTTAGAATCCTGACATTTTCAAGTCTGTGGTCCCGGTGCCGGGACGAGGCCACATCCACCATGATGATGTGGTCAATGAGCACGGCTGTCGGGAGAAGACAAAGGGCTGAAATGGACTTAATTGTAATTGTGCTTGATTTCTACTGCCTCAAATTATGTCGAGCGGCAGATCAGAATTTGGGATTTTGAACTGAACAGGTTCAGTCACATCACCACGGACTACTTTATCGTTTTAAAGGTATTTTTCAAGTCTCATTCTGGAGATTGGGACCTCATCTCGGGTTAATCTCGTAGTTTAGAGCAATAACAGACTTTTTAAGACGTGAAGAAAATGAAGTGATTTGTAAGTTTGGAATAGCATCCTGATGTAAGCAGAGTCATGACGTCATGACATCTTTACTCAGATGATCTTTCTCATAATCACCTTTAAAGCCTCGTGAGCCTTTTGTCCCGGTGAATCCAGCATGACCGACCTGCCCCTTCTCCCCCAGGTCTCCCTTCTGACCTGTAACAGACAAAGACAGAGACGCAGGAGTTGACCTGAGTTTATGTTTTGTTGTGTGAACAGAGATCAAGTCAACCGGCAAAATGAAAAAACAGAGGCTTGGCTGGAGTCTTGAGTTCCAACATGTGTAGAAGCTAAACAACAGGTGAATGTCCGAAGCACTAATAATTATGTTTTGATTGATGATGTCAGCAACTCGGTACCAACATTTCTATGGTAACTTGTTGTTCCGTCTTGAGGTAAACTTTTTCCCACAGTCGGGAACTTGTTTGTCTGATTATTGCGACACCACACAAACTCACAGTAATTTCAGAGTGACCAGGTGTGCTTATTTAGCTCCACCCACATGCTCATGCAGGCTCCTCCCACTGTTATAACAATCTCTCTGCTCCACATGGCGAGATAATCTTCAGCCCAGCCCCCGTCAGGAGTTCAAACCTGTAGAATTTAACTTTTTCTTTTTCCCTCTCTGGCTCCATCTGGAGCATAAATCACATGTGTCTGCAGAGGGCGCTATCGCTCGGTAAAGTTACTTAATGTTGTTTTAGGTGATATGACACCACTGGTCTCCCTGGTAGCAGTGAGGGAATCAAACGCGTGGGTGTTCACGTCAGTGCAGAAATGTGTGACTCACCTTTTATCCCCTGACGACCTGTGAATCCTGCTCGACCTTTGAACCCAGTCATTCCTCTTCTGCCAGGACTCCCGGGTTCACCTGCTCAACGAGGAACGGTCGGGTACGTGTTAGCATGAAGGTCTTGAAGGGGAAGAAAACTACCAACCTTGGTGTTAGCGCCTTGCTCCATTTATATCACAGTCCTCACAGACACCAGTGGTTCTCAGACTTCATCGGTCACCATCATCTGATCTTTATCAAACATTAACGCTGCTGTGCAAAGTTTATCTTTATGAAAATATCTGAGCGGTGACCTCTATTTGCCTTTACGGCTCTTTCAAGGCTTAAAGCAGTACAGGCTGAGATAATGTGACATTTAGACAGCAGATGGCAGTAATGCACCTTTACCGTGATTGCCAATCAACCAAACAGAAGAAGAACAATCTTTAAGTGGCCATGTTCTCCGTATGTTGAAAGAGATTGTGAGATTTAATCATTTTGGAATAAATAACACGAGCTGTTTACACCGCAGTGATCACAACAAACATGAAATAGGAGTAGAGAAAAGACGCGGGCAACTTAAAGTGGTATACATGCCTGAAGGGCCCCGGTCTCCACGGTCTCCTTTGGGTCCTGTGGTGCCTTTACAGTGCGAACAGATGCAGAAAAGGGGAACCTGCTCGATGGGCGGCGGTACTGGTGAGTTCAGGAGGATGTCGCAGATGGTTGTATCAGGTTGTGTCGGGAGGGAAGTCAGCATCCTACTGTGGGAGTTTGGTGACCATTTATCTGAGCCGGACAGTGGGTAGGTCTCGGGGTCCGAGGTGGAGTTGTCCTCTTTGCTGGACTCTGTGGTGGTGTTTGGTAGCAGCATGGCAGAGCAGAGGGAGGACAGGGCCAGGAGTCCCAACAGCCTCGAAGACATCTGCAGCAGGGGGGGTGAAGGATGAAGAGTAAGTCTCTCCAGAATCAAGTCTCATTGCTTTTGTTTGGCACCGTGTCTCATATCCAGATAAAAAAACTGATGAGATTTAACACGCTGTCACGTTTGTGTGTTTGTCGGACAAATCACAAATCTGATCGCAGTTGTTTTTGTTTTGCGAGCGACTTGAGGAGTCGACTCACCTCCTGTCCAGAGGGGGAGCTGATGTATCTTCCACAAAAACTGGAAGAACAAGTGCTTCTGCGCTTTAGCAGTTTAATTACAATTCATTTGAAAGATTTATAACAGTCCACACACAACAAGTTTAATGGTCTTCATGGCTCTAATCCAATCAGAACGGACCAGAGGTGTTTAAAGGAGCTGGTTTGTTCTCTTGACGTCTCAGCTCTGAAGTTGTATTTATGTTAAAGAGTCTCAGCTAAACCTCGACATAAAAATCTATGAAAACGTAAATCGTCTGTCTGAACGAAAGGTGTCAGGAGCTTGTGAGAGATGAACAAACAGTTTGTAAGTGACAAAACTTTAACATTTGAAAAGTTCCAACTCAACAACTCGTTCACTCCAGCTCCGCTCAGGTGTCAACAGGATTCAGCTTTCAGAGGTGGATGAAAAGAAGTTTTACTAATTTCAAATGAAATGGTGAATTATTATTATTCATCATCAAATGGATTAATGATCTTGGGATAAGGAAAACAAAGTGAAACTGAAATATTTTTAAAAACTAAAATCTTTCATTGTTTCCGTCTCTTTTACAAATTTTACTTCTGCAAAGTAAATCAACCTTTTACACCTGAATTTAAGGGGAAAGAATAAAGAAGCTGATCTAGATCATATTGAGAACTACAAACTAATTACAAACTAATTTGCTTCCAAAACCAAATCCTAAAACTCACCGCTCTGTCTGAGGTGTGCAGTTCGGTCTGCAGAAGGAATTGTGTGAAGATGAGCAGGTGGGACGAGGCTTTGATTCATTTATAGGCCTCGCCCAAAACAAAACTTCTTTCTTGCTCCTCACCGAAGACGAGGGAGGGGGACGCTCATCGTCATTGTCCTGTTGAAGGAGAACTGAACCTCCTCCCTGTGTCGTGACCTCCTCCATCATGAAACAGCAAAAACCAGTGAATTCTGAGCAGAAAGAAGAGACGCTCTGTGTTTATCTCTCCATCAACTCTACACCTTCTTCTTTGTCTCTCTCTCGTCGCTGCCGTCCACAGCTCCTCGGAAACCTCTGAAGAGTTTGAGACACAAAGACTCTGCGATGAAACTCTGAGTTTATGTTTTCAACACCAACACGTTGCTCTGAGCTCATTGCTTCATTCAGAAAATCAAAACCAGTTTCACATTGAAAAACAAAAGTGGATCTGTGTTTATCAAACAGGGTTGGGGACTATTTTCAGCAGCTGGGTGTGTGTGTGTGAGTGTGTGTGTGTTTCTTCTTTTCTCTTTATTAGTAGTTTTAAATGGTGGTTCCAGTTTTGTCGTTGCTCCCTCTCTCTCTCTCTCTTCTTCAAGTTTCCAGATATTGAAGCACAAACTGTGAGAAAATGTACGAAACCAACAAAATAACAACCGTGGATTTCATGATCCTCAGAGGACGATCCTTCGGTGCATTATTTACACCCCAATGAAATATTACATTCAACTGCACTGAAATATTATTCAAGCTGAATCAATCAGTGGACCTGAAACTTAAATAATAATAAGGTCAACATCTAAACTGGTGAATTTCAGTCTGGTGCCTCTGACTGTTTCCTGGTTCTTTGTTTTCTTATCTTCGCAGTCAAATTATTCTTAACAAACTCTGAAGTCAGGTTGTAGCTTGTTTGTGTTTCAGTCAGTGATACAGTAATCGAGCCAGTCGTTCACAAAGAGCAGCCTACTTGTATTATTAGCACACTGAACAGCAGAGGACAATTCATTCTGTAACACTTCCTGTGGGATTACATGGAGACATGATCCTGATCAACTACTTACAAACAGGAAGGAGCTGAAACTTAAAACTGTCAGAGACTGAGACCACGATGAAATATCAATTCTGCGTCAGAATATTCTACGTTTTATTTTTTTGCAGTTGGTTAAATAAGAAGCAGAAATGATCAGCTCGGTGTTTTTAAAGTGACATGAGTTTGTTCTGCAGACAGAATCTCATAACCTTCGAGCTCATGGAGGAGAAAGTCACAAGCAGGAAACTGGTCTGAGCACAAAGTGGCGGGCGGCGGAGGGCCTGACCTCAGACCAGCTCACCCCGTGTCCTCCTCCGCAGCTTCTGCTGCTGTCAGTCGCCTGTGGAACCAGAGACGCCTCCTCTATGTCTCCAGGCCAGCTTTTATTCTGAAAAATCAAAACAGCCGAGCACAAAAAGGTAAACCGAGCCGAGGGAACGAGGACGAGTCATGAAAGAGGAACAGGAGATGAATAGTTAACCTTAATAAGTGTCCTGGTTTCCACAGCCGGCAGCGCCCAGCGAACAGGAGCTGCGTCCATGTTCCCCGAGGGCAGTGACGGGTCACCTGAGGTGAGCTGAGGCCCGACAGACTCAACACAACACGTGTGTGTTAGAGGACACGTGACGCACACACAAGCACAGGAACTCCACACTGACACTGGGCTGCTGCTCCGGGGCTCCAGATTCCTCCAGATGTTGAGCTTCATGATGTCATGTGTGTGTGTGTGTGTGTGTGTGTGTGTGTGTGTGTGT